GCCTAAAAATTTTATGTACATGTTATCACGTTTATATATAGCAACTACTCCGTTTAGAATCACCACGTGCTTTGGTCGGGTAACTTTTGGTTTCAGTTTAGAGAGAGACTTAAAATTATTGAGAAAATGGCTCCCATCGAATAAAAGGATCGTCAAATTTTTTGGTAGTTGAGTCTATAGTTGATAACTAATATATACTTTTCTGTTTTTAAAAGAATAATTTTCTATAAACAAATTTGTTTCATAAGATTAATTACTTTAAGTTTTTTATGCATTTTTTCTTAGCTAATATAAATAATTGTAAACTTTAAGAAAATTCATTAAATTTACTGAACTAGTAGTATTAATTTGAATATATAGAAAACTGTTAATCACAAAAATGATACATTTATAACCAAATTTTAATATATTTTTTAAAAATATATAAAATTTTTAAACCATTTTTCTTTTAGGAACAGAAAGAATATATGTTGTTTGCTTTCTTTTAAATTATGTCTATTTGAAATTTTTATAAGTACATACGATCAATAAATTATTCAGAAATTAGGAAGAATATGGAGCTAATAAGTAGAAAGATCTAACAAAATTTAGTTATTTTGAAATATGACCAGAGGTTTGATTTCTATCATACAAAATCCCATATTTATTATTGTTTTTTTAATTATGTGCTGAATAAGCATAAGGCTTCGAATGATAATGACGTAAAATCGTATAAATGTATAGTTGAAATACGTGCTTAGCATTAGGTAGGTATTATAGTGAGGTTTCGAATAATGATGTAATCACGGTCATCACCACTGATAAATCACATCGATAAATGTAAACGGCGGCAACGAAATGGACAATATATCACTCTCATTGTGACCAAAATGAGAATTGATCATTTGTTTCACCATTTCATCATTGAAAATTAAGAGGATAGATCTGAAGTCAAAAGCAAACTAGATTGAACGACAGTGATATTTCTTTTTAACATATGCAAACTAAAAAACAACAAGAAAATTAAAAGACTAACTAAACAAATCCGTGTGTCATATTAATAATCTTATTTGCTACATTTAAGAAATGACAGAACTGATTAGAGGTCATGCTCATCATACTGATATATGTGATTTGGGTTCAATTGTTTCAGTCGGCTTTTTGTTTTCTCTTTTTGTCATCACAGCCGACTTAATTTGTACGATTACTTTCTTCTTCCGAAACAAATTGGCTCACTTTAAAAGTTTTTTACAATTTTATATCAAAATTAATAACCACAAAAAATAAGAATAACAAATAATAAATACACATCATAAATAACCTTAAATGCCACCAGATGATTTGCTACATCACTTTTCCACAAGTGGTAAAGAGAACTCCATATCAGTATGAAACCCAAAAAAAACAGTGAAAATTCAATCTTCATATCTCAAATTTTTTTTTTTATCTCTTCTGTTTCTCTAATAACGAAGTTCCAGTTACTCCAGGAGACATCCATGATCTAGCCGAACCGGAGATAAAACCAAGTTACATCAGTCTCCATGTCACCAATAAGTTTGACGTTCCTTATTGTAATTGTTAATTATTGTAATAAAATGAGTTTGTTACATACTGTAATTTTTTTAGCCACAATTTTATTAGAAAAAATTGCAAGTAGATTCTAATTTTTCCAAAGCATGAAGAAATTTCCACGTAATCGTATTTGTGTTTGAACTCAAATGTGTGATCCGTTAGATGAAAGGGTCCTTCAATTATGACTACTGTTAACTACATTGGTCCAGAGCTTTACTTAAGATTTGAAGTATAATCGTGCCTCAGGTTGAAAATTCATATACACTTTATACAAGTTCAAGATTAAAGTTTTGTTTGTAAGAAATTCAATATCAGAAATAAGATGCATTTAAAGTAACATGTTTTTTTTTGTTAAGGTTAAATATATTGGCAATTCAGAATTAATTAATAATAAGACGAATGACTAAAAACAAAAAGGTTATCGTGTGGACATTTTTGACTGAACCCCAAAATAAATCCACAAAAGTTTATAGAAATACTATTTTACAACTAAATACGTTTAGTGATGACCATCTATAATGGAAATTGTAGTAGAAGGATTCAGACTTTAATGTAGATCCACATGATGAATTTTAACAATCACTGTACCACCATGAAAGAGTTTCACATAGGTTTTTTTTTGTTCAAACAGTTATTCATGTTTTTAAGATATAACTTTATGTCCCATATTATTTTTGAAGTGAGATTCTCTCGGGTGATTTTTTGAATTCAAAATATGCTATAGATTCACCTAGATAATGAGAAACAAGTAGTGCAATCTTCAAAAAGCTTATCAGTAGATAAAAGATTCTGCAAATTGCAAATTTGCAATATATATACGTAATATTGTAGCTAAGTTAGGATAAAACCCTGCATTTGAGATTTAACATTATGTATATAAAAAAGCGTACCTTGAATTTTAATAGAAAAAGGAGACTGATAAGAAATTACTTATGTCCTAAATTCCTAATGATTGTGAAAGATGGATGCACCACCAATTATTTGCGATTCTACGAGAACGTGGAATTGAACAGAGTAAGGATAAGGATGTTTTTATTTATGTACTATTCAATTTATGTTTTGTGATAAAAAATAAAATAAAATAAACGTGTAAGAAAGCTGGCCTTGCGCCTCTCTTTGATGGGTAGCCTTTGTTATTCAACTCCACCATCCTTACTCCTACGACCTCCATCTCATAATCAACCTGCGCGTAGGGGATATGTATCTTTTTAATTTTTTTTTACATATTCCTTAAATTATGGAAAAAAAAAATAAAGTGCAGACGATTATATTGGTCGGTTTCGACGAGAGGTGGAGAATATCCATAGGTACATTCAGAAGGTAAAGAGAGATATAAACTTCACTCATCCAACTTTGGCAATCTGTATCCTATATCTCAAGATCTTAGCTTTTTGACCCAAATATATAATCTAACTTTTATAGAGTCATTGTGCCTATCAAAATCCAATCTCTATGATAAATTATTACAGAATATCAAATCTATCAATCTCTAGATATATGTAGGGGCCGCAAGCAATTTCTTAAATCCTCACTTTATATTTCTAAAATTGAAAATAATATTTTTTTCTTTTTTTTTTGACAAAGGGCTAAAATAATAATTTCTTGGTACCATGCTTTCCGAACAAATCCAACTGAATCAAATCAAATTTTGAATTTTCCTATCCTCAACTTCGTATCATGTGACAAAAATGTAGTAGAAAAATAGATGACGTTTAAATTCATTGCTATAAGGTAATCGGAAAATTTTGAATCATAGTTTGTAGTATTACTAAATTGTAGTTATTATGTGAATACTACTATAGTAAAAGATGATCGCATCAAAATTATAACATAGGAAACAAAACAACACATGAGTCAATGACAATAACCACCATACACCTTTATTACAGTTGTTATTCACCACTTAATGAAGATAGTTTTATTTTGTATGAATAATTGTTTGAAAAAAAAACCTCTAGCATTTGCAATGTGTATACTTTTTGAACTTAGAATTTGCAGTGTGTGTATTTTATAACTTAGACTCATCATTAAAACGGTTAAATTATCAATTTCCAAACGGCCAAACCTAATAAAATATATACATGCACTTATATATTATTAATAGAGAAAATAAATTAGAGTAAGCAAAAGTTATAAACTGCACGTCGGAGAGGAGCCTTGGCCGCCAAGACTTGGCCACCGAAGATATGTCGTCGACTTCCTTTAACATTAGCATTACCTTTCACTATGTAATATTAATATAGGGCAAATAATCAAAAATATTAAACTAATTAATTGATATTTTAATTTATCATTAATCTATGTAGTAAATAACATTTGTTTCAGTTTTTAAATTTAACTTAGAAGAAAGTGAACATTCGAACAATAAAATTCATGAATTGCAAACCGTAATTAAATCAAACTAAATCAGAAAAGTTATATATCTAACTAACACTTAGAAAATTTTGAATATTAGTATGGGGCACTTGCCCCACCTCTCTATCAAGTAGATCCGCATATGACTCTGTAAAATGTTAATATTCATTAATATATAATATCAACAGTAATGTTTCCTGTAAACAACAAAAAACAAATATATATTTATAGAAAACTTTGCTGTTGGGTTTTATCATTATCAATATCTTATTAAATATACATTTTTTTGTATATGCTTATGTTGGTCACGTTCTTTTTTTCTGTGTTTGGTCATAATAGTTTCTTAAGGAAAACATAAAACTGGAAACTATACAAATATTCTTTTTTTTTTTTTGAGAACATTATTTATACAAATATTCTGAAGTATGTAAACTAAACATTACTCGCCTCTATGAATTTATAAATATCTTAAAAAGGCATCTTCTTCCATAAAAATACAGCTTTTTCTTACATAAATCAGGACTTTACACTATATTTCGAAACCGTGAAATCGTTGAATCTTTATGAGTCAATAATTAATTAAGAAAACTACGACCCGTGATTCTTTTCGTAATTTGTCAACAAATCCATACGCGTGACGTGATTAGTCAAAGTAAAATGGAAAAAGAAAAGAATACATAAAAAGAGGACCATATGAATACCATTTTCTCACTATGCCAACTTCGATTTCATAAACCCAAATTAGAAAATAAAAACAAAAATTCCACGCTGTATTTCCATGTGTGCTGAGAGATACAAGAATAGACTCGACATGCAAAATAAAAATAAATATGACTATATAATTGTAGTATAATAATAATAATATGCCGGAATTAAAAAAATACTCCATGTAATAAGGCATTTGCCCCGTTCCCCCACAACCCTCACTCCCTATAAATTCCAAAGCAAATTAGGTTTCTCGACAGTTCATAAATCATAACCTACTTCTTTTTCTCATTCTTCTTCAATCTTCACCAACTTTTTTTCTGCAATCTTCAACAAACTTACACACGAAAATAAAAAACTAATACTCACTTAAACAACAAGAACCAAGCATGGTGGTTTTATCACAGCCAATCCCTTTAGATAACCACATATCCGTAATCCCAACATACAAACCGGTTCCGGTTCCGGCTCTTACTTCCCAATCAATCCCTGTGGTGAACCTAACCGATCCAGAAGCCAAAATCCGAATCGTGAAAGCTTGTGAGGAGTTTGGTTTCTTCAAGGTCGTAAACCACGGCGTTCGACCCGAACTCATGACCCGGTTAGAGCAGGAGGCTATTGGCTTCTTCGCCTTGCCTCAGTCCCTGAAAAACCAGGCCGGTCCGCCTGAACCGTACGGTTATGGTAATAAACGTATTGGACCAAACGGTGACGTTGGGTGGATTGAGTATATCCTCCTCAATGCTAACCCTCAGCTCTCTTCTCCCAAAACCTCCGCCGTTTTCCGTCAAACACCACAAATTTTCCGGTAAAGATAATCTCATAAATATTTCTTTGTACAACTATCAAAGAACATATATATTTTTAAAGACATTACATTTAACATCACTGCTTTTCTTCATACATTTTTTTTAAAAAAAAAAACAGAGCCGTCGCCTTTTATCTTCCCCTTTTTCTTTTTTTCGACCAAATTAAATGTTTCTAAAAACGAATGAAAAAGTGACAATCAATGAGGTGTTTAATTATCGTATCCCTAATTTTGTATTAGAAGCAATGAGCATCATGTAACAAAATAATTCTCCTACGTAAGGACCGCAATGGCGTAATCCGTTGCATTTTCTATGGAAAAAAAGTTCATGATTATGCTCTGTTTCTTTAAACCTTCTTGTGTTGCTCTGTTTCTCAATCTGACCGTTTGAGATTGAAAAAACAGAGAGGCGGTGGAGGAGTACATGAAAGAGGTGAAGGAAGTGTCGTGCAAGGTGTTGGAGATGATGGCAGAAGCATTAGGGATCGAGCCGAGGGAGAGTCTGAGTAAGATGTTGAGAGACGAGAAGAGTGACTCGTGCCTGAGACTGAACCATTATCCGACGGCGGAGGAAGAGGCGGAGAGGATGGTGAAAGTAGGGTTTGGGGAACACACAGACCCACAGATAATCTCGGTGCTAAGATCCAATAACACGTCGGGTCTTCAAATCTGTGTGAAAGATGGAACTTGGGTCGCTGTCCCTCCTGATCACTCTTCTTTCTTTATTAATGTTGGAGATGCTCTTCAGGTCCATTTTCCTCTCACTCTTTTTTTTTTTTCTCTTTTTCTATGAAGAAAGAAAATGATCATGATTTGATAATCTTTATGTATTTAAGATTTGATGTTTATGTTTGAGACATTCCTACAGTTTATCTGGCTGGTCAAAACTGAAAAAAAGAAGTATTTTCGGTTCTTTATCTCAAGATATTTTTCAATTAAATTTAGTATGTGTCTTTTTTTTTCTTATATAATTTGTGATTTATGTTTCTTTTTTGTGTAAAATTGTGATATCTTGGGGAGTGACTAGGACCGATGTGGAGAGGGTAGACAAATATTCTCTCACATAGGATTTCTTCTTGCTTCTTTTTTTTTTAATAGAAAAATGTTTTAAAAAATACAAATATATCAAAAATTGATTTTGGAGTTCCTTTATCTTGGGTGTACGTCTAGAAAATCTACGTAGACACAGAGCCTCACGTGACAATTACTATTTACATGATGGGCATGTATGCAATATATTCTCTTACAAGTGCCATTTCCAAAACAAACAATATATACAATGTGTGTGTGTGTATATACTTTATCCTAAATTTGACTTCTACAACATTTTCAAAGTCTCACATAAGACTCTTAGATGTTAACAATACCTGGTGATTGCAGGTTATGACAAACGGGAGGTTCAAGAGTGTTAAACACAGGGTCTTAGCCGATACAAGGAGATCGAGAGTTTCGATGATATATTTCGGAGGACCACCATTGAGCCAGAAGATTGCGCCATTGTCATGCCTTGTCCCTAAGCAAGAGGATTGGCTTTACAAAGAATTCACTTGGTCTCAATACAAATCTTCTGCTTACAAGTCTAAGCTTGGTGATTATAGACTTGGTTTCTTTGAGAAACAGCCTCTTCACAGTTCTCTCTCCTAGGTCTAATGTATGAAGTCTAGTCACGAGATACTTTGTATGATAAAAAGTCATAATTACAAAAAGAAGGAAACGGATAGTGTTTTAAATTAGTTTTTATTTTTGGTATGTTTTTTTCGTTAGGCACAATAGCATTAGGCTTTGCTTAGAGTTTGACCCAACGAAATCTACACTTTGTAATCTCTCGTCTTTTTGTTGTCTCTTTCCTTTTGCCTTGTTTTGTTTGCCTTTCTCGGAAATAACTACTAGTGTTTATTTTTCTCTTTATGATTTCATTTAACGCTCTTTTTTCCATTTCCCACCTCAATTTAATTTTCTTTTCTTTTACTTTGTGAGTAAAAAATATAAACAAATGAGTTGTTACAATTTAACAAAACAACAAAGTGTTCCACTTTATGTATGTCCTCACTGTGTCCTCATGCAATGAACTTATGATATTTCTCTTTCCTTTTCTCTCTTTGTGGTCTTCATCGTTAAACATATGGAATTGAGCTTTGTGTTAGCCTGTTAGGCATGTTTTTTACAAAAGATTTATGATGACGCCAAATCAAATACTAGTAACTTTAACATGAGGTGACAAATAAGGCTTATATATAGTATTCGATTAGTGAATAAATAGATTAACTTTGCCTTTAACTTTAAGCAAGAAAGGAAAGTAAGTGATGTTTCAGAGTATATGACAGTATACTATATCCACTGCATCGAAAAAGACATATATCCACAATCCATTGCTTTAGTTGACAAAAAAAAAAAATAGAGCATGTCCAAGTTAAAGTAATAAGTAAATTGCGTTAAAGTCTTCTGGTCAAAACCATCAGATTTCTCATTTAAACATTTTAATACATATCATATACCTTCTCCTGCTTTTTTTTCTTCCACAATGTGTTTTTTCTGTTTAATTTTCACTGTCTAATACTCCCTTTATTTCTTAATATATGTTGTTTTGAAGGTTTATGTTTCTTTCACAGTATAAGTTGTTATTAAAGTTCTAGATAAAAAAATATATTTTAGCTAAAGAATAATAATATGATTTTTTTTTTTACTTTTGTTAAGTTCTTTTAACAAAATAATGATTAGTTTGTTTAGAAAAGCTAAAAAATCTTAATCTGTGTGTTTTAATCAAAAATAACTAATATTAAAAACAGAGTAAGTACATTACATCTTTAGGTAGAATGGAACCTCTCTGTTTGGTCAAGTATACTCCCATATTTAAAAGAATTTCAAAATTTTATAAATCATATGATTATGAATCTGATCTATAACACAAGATAGAATTCTTTTATGTAGCTTTGACAGACATTAATATATTTAGAAACAATAAAAAGAATAGATCATATGTTAAAGAAGACAGTTTAGTTATTGAAATAAGATTATTAAAGGATAGTACAATAAGAAAAAACAACGATACAAAATACTAAAATAGATTTTTTTTTTTTGGTAAGGAAATACTAAAATAGATTTAGGAAGTCGAGAAAAAACATTTTGTTATTTTGTTATTATTAATTTACTCTATAATAAAAAATAAAGAACAAGTTATATAAAGTCAAAGAAATACGAATATTAAAGCGAGGGAGTGTTGCTAGTGGGAGAATGGCGATTACATGAGTGTGAACATATTTAGTTGAATTTGTCGAGACATTAGAAAGACGATTAAGATTTTTTTTTTTTTTTTGACATGACGATTAAGATTTTCTTTTTGTAAGAAATGCTAATAATTGCCTTTAGCAAAAATAAAATAAAATAATAATAAAAGTTTGAAAATAAGAGTTGTTTTTATCAAAAATAAAGAATTGGAGAAAATTAAGTGGTGACCACAGAGAAAAAAGAAAGACAGGTGCTCGGGTTCAGTTCTTACAGCTTTTAGAACTGTACAAAACATAACAGAACTGTGCAGTTACTGTCGTAATGTCGTTGGTTATGTGACTTTTTTCAGGAACCAAAATCCATTTTCATTTCGCTTATTCCTTCATTATACTAATGTATACTTTAATATATTTATATAAAGTAGTCATATCATATATACTGTACGTAGATGTTCATTGGCCTATCAAAAAATTCGTTGTTTATTTTAAAATTTTAGTTTACTTTTTAAAGAAGTTGGTTTGAACAAGTTTTAAAAACCGCTTAATATATTGCAGCGAAATCTATAAGATCATTTCTAATTAATTTGCGTGGAGCGGTAAAGATAGTATGAAAACAGTTTTGGTCGTCTCTTGTCAGACTTTTAGGTAGTGTATAAATTATAAAATATCAAGGGCAATATACATATAACATATTTTATATTTTCTAATTTTTTCCAGCATTTTTTACTTTAATAGAATCCGCGATACCCACCTACTTAAGTTGTGTAGGTAAATTAGTTACATGTTATATTAACTAATATTGTTACTATAATTTATTTACAATAACCTTCTCATTTTAACAAAGTTGTGGTTGTACAAGTACAACGGGAAGATGATGGGTCGACTGTGCTAAAATATCCAAGATAGGTAGCTATTGTACTCCCATTTGCCAACTATAGATGGTCACAAAACTGGATATTTTGAAGTGTTTGGATATTTGATGTGTATCCGGCAAAAATATAATAGAAAGAGACTTGCTTCAAAAAAGAAATCGGCTGTAATATAGTAATAGACTAGTAGTACAAATTAAAGCATGACAACCAACGTTTTCTACAACATTTATTTTTTATTAGATTTTCGGTGTCTAACTCTAAATCCTAATTTAATCTCTTCTTTGATCATATACTTTGTTGTTATTCCGCATGCACTTGCGATCTCCTCCCTAGCTCGTCTGCTGCTCATTGTCTACACACTTCTCCTTACCTTAACGAGACTTACGTAATAAATGGAAGATAAGATATTGACCAATTCACTAATTATTTATTGATTTGGAGTTAAAAACATACGAAACTCTAACTGTCTAACATAATAACACCGGTTGAACACACATTGGTCCAATCCAAATCCGATCAAAAATTGATATTTGTAATAAAATATTGTTGATATTAATTGTCATCATTCCACAATGGTATATTAAGTAAAATGAGACGATTTAAATAATATACTACTAATTATTAGGAGTACAAAATATAGATTAATTTAATCATCTGTTTTTTTAGTTGAGTGCAAAATTTTATTTAACAAAAAAAAGTGTCTTACAACATTGCATATGAATTTAGATGGTACGGTTTCTATCAATCTAAATGTATATGTACCATACTTTTCAAGTCCCTATGCATACCATTTGAGTACTCGAAATAAATAGGGAGAAATAATAATAGTACCCTCCAATTAACAAGAAAAATTCATTGACTGCATGAAATTTTGTATGACAATTACTTCTGATTCTGAGTCACTGAACATACATCATTTAAAGATTATATAGGCATTCGTAGATGATGCATATATTAATATATTAATGCGTCGCGTAAATAATATTCTATGATAGTGAATTCTCCTTTTCTTTTAGACGTTTTAAAACAAATTTCACCCCAATGTTCCATGTGCAAATATTTTCATTAAATGGAAAAGACCAAGATGTGACTGAGTGCAGCTTTTCTTAGTGCACCTATGGGTCCAAAGACAGCTCATGTTGGGCCCTTTTGTCTGTAGATTTTGCATGTCGTCAATACATATAAGAAACAACTAACTACTGAGGAAAAAAATTAAATTTGTTTGAAGAACAAAAGAAATGGAAAGAAGGACATTCCTTATACAATATGTAAGAAAATGTTTATATATTTGAAGTGTGATGGTCACTGCATAATTGATGTGACATGTTTACACTAAGCTTGAATGTATCGCTCGATAATAACCATTTTGCATATATTTATTTCGTGTTTTAATAATAAATACAACCTGTTTAAACAGCTTGAATGTATCCCTCGATAACAACCATTTAAATATAGTTATTTCGTGTTTTAATAATAAACACAACCTGTTTAAACAAATTTTGTTCTTATAGGTTATAACGATATACAATAACATCGAAAGTTGGGAAAAAGTCGATCTCTTTTAGCTAGTATAGTGTATAGAGATATACAATGATAAACAAAAATTAATAACAGTGAAAATATGTAGTAATGATTTGATCCTTGAGTTTTATATACCTGTATAATTCTTTATCACTCACACTTTGCAACTAAACCACAAAGTTATATTCTCTTTGTTTTTTTTTAAAAAAGATTTTTTATAATTTTTACAGTTATTAAAAAAGCATAAATTGATATTTTTATTGATATAAAAATAAAAATAGAAAAATCATTAAAGAGAATATGAGTAAAATAAGAAATATTTTACAAAATCTACCTTAAAAATGAAAAATTCTTCCTTTTAAAACAGATTTTTTTTTTAAAAAGATCTTTCTTTTAGACAGAGAAAAATATTTCTTTTTTACATCAAAAGAATATTATTTTACCAAAAAATAATATTTAAATCTTTTTTTATAAAAGATGATATTTATGTTAGAAAAAAAAAAGTTTAGGGTCAATCCAATCTACTATGGGTTTATCAATGTACTTCTTAAGAAAAAAATATTTATATTGAATCATATATAAAAAGTAGTATATATTCAGTCTATCCAATTATAATAATAATAAGAAAATATCTTTTGAAAAATTGAATTTATATTGAGCTGTGACTACTTTATAGGTGGTGGTCACGGAAAAATATATTAAAAACTGAAACTGTTTGATTAAAATAAGTTATTTTATACGAAAATTTCAAAATCCAAGTACTAAACTAGCCATCTATACTAAAGCTTTTTGACATTATGGCCAAATGTTTTTTCCTTTTTTTTTTATGGAAACCTTTTGACATTCTTTGCATAGAAAGTTGTGACCTTTGAGTGAAGACTTTTCACAATTATATATCTCGATTTTGTAACTTCTAATTCCGAATGGTAATTATGTTTTGCAGGATTAATTTTTTTTTTAAATACAGTGTGGTTAAAACTACAGAATATGTATTATGTAGAACTACTGCGTTTTATGTAAGAAGTACGATGCAAAACAATTTTTGATTGGTAAAAAACAGTTAGCAGTTCAAAATCATTTTTAATTGGTAAAAATAGTAACAAGTGGTGCATAATTTAAAAAGTAAGTAAATATGAATCATTATATTTTACATTTTAATTCAAATGTATTTTACATTTATTTTTGTCAACACTTATACTTGACTTGTAAAATAGATTGTCTATAGTTTTGTGTATTTTCTATAAATCTGTTTTTTAGTTAAGCTGTTTCTGAAGATTTAATCAATTTGAATTAAACCCAAGTTTAGTATAGAATTCTTTATGAAAATATGTAATGATTTATTAAACTCTTTTTTTAAAAAAAATTGAAGAAAAAAATAATTAACAAAAAACAATATGGGAAAAAATATTATGCATTTCAAGTATTGTTAATGTTAAAAATCGGTGTATTATAAAGTTTGAATGATAACAATTATAAGTGCAGTGCATAAATAATAATTTTTAAAATTTTAACTATCTAATTCTAATATTTTGAATGAACAGTTTTTTTCTTCAATTAAAACTATATCAATTAATAAAATGAATTTACTGTTATTTTTATTTTTAAAAAATAAAATTTAAAGCATTTTTTTTTTAAAAAATTGAATACCGCACCTAAAAACAGAAAACCACATCCTAATGAACATATATGAATTGTAAAAGGTGTATCACTACTTTTGGTCATGTGTTTCTCTAAGTGCAGTATTTTAATTTTTTTAATATATAAAATTTGATGTGAACTGTTTTTGACAAAAAAAATTGTGAATGAAGACATTCATAAAATACGCTTCGTATAGCCTTAAGTACGTTCCAGCCCACTGTCTCCATTCAAGACAAGGCTAAAATTTGTTCTAAATTTGTAATCAGCTAAAATTAATATAAATAGTATCATCGAATTTTACAAAAATACTCTTATCAATTAAAATTTTCGAAAAAATAGTTTTTTTTTCTTCTATTTTGATATTTTATTTTTATTTCATATTATTTTATATTTTTAATACATTTTTTTAATTATATAATAATTTTATTTCTATTATTTTAATTTAATAATTAAAAAAGAAAACATATTTAATGTATTAGCAAATGGCACAATAAATATTTATGATTTTTCTTTAATTTATGTAAAAATATCAAAAAACATTTTTTATAAAACAGATAGAATATTATAATAGTTTTAAAATTTAAAATAATAATAAAATAGATTATTCAAAATAAATAAATTAAATAAAACAAATTGAATTAGTATATAAAACGAATAGAATAAATTAAATAAATCAGGTGAAACAAAAAAAAATCAATACTTAAATTAAATAAATGTAATGTGGATAACTTTGATTAATTTTTTACAAATTTTTGGAATAATCTTCTGTTTTATTATTGACCGTTAAAATTAATTGTAAAAATTATTTAGAAAGCTTTAAATTTATTTATAAAAAAGAATAAAAAATAACAACTGGTCCGCAGTTGTATCATGTATGTATGTTCTTTAAAATCATCAAATCGATGTTCCTTCGTGAGCTAACGGCCCATTAGTAAGCCCATACAACCATATATTTTGGAAGAGCCCATTTACTAAGAAGTAACGTTTTATGGTGGTTTTTTTTTTTGTTTTAATGAGAAATTAACTTATTAAGAACGTGATTTACGTAAAACCAGAGGATCAAAGATTGTAATTGTGATAACCAAATTTCTCAATAGCAAAAAATGGGAAAGAAATAAGAAACAGAGACAAAGGAAGAAGGAAAAAAGCAAAATGGCGTATCGGAGAAGACAAGGGATCACGAGAGCTTCTACATTCAAGGAAGACATCTACAATCAACCCCCTGATCACGATCACGGTGATCTCAAAGGTCACTCCAATGGCGGATCCTTCAGATCCTCTCAATCTTTCTCTTCTCATTCCTCCCTTGCCGCTCAAGCAATCCGCGCTTCCTCTGCTTACAACGGCGATTCCAATTCTCAGGTCTTTCTCTCTTTTATCTTCTTCTCCAAATGAAATTACTCTTCCAGAAAGAAAAAAAAAAAACCTAAATCCGTTCGATTTCAGGGGCGAGGATTCACGGCTTACGAGGATGCGTCGAAGAACGAGAGCCGCGGTTTCTGGGGAATCTTAGCTCAGAAAGCGAAATCAATCCTCGAGGACGAAGAAGAAGAGCAGCAGCAGCAGCAACAAAACGTCGTCGTTTCCGAATCGTCGAATAATAATAATAACCCAACGATACGCAAAAGCATAGACAAGATCACGACGTCGCTGAATCAGATCGGAGACAGTTTCGAGAAAGCATTCGAAGAAGGCCGTACGATCGTAGCTTCTCAGATCAGACGGAAAGGATCCGATCTAATCGATCCAGAGAATAACAACAACAATAACTACAATTACAATCAATCCTCTGGATCAAACAGTCCATGGCAGCCATTAACGCAACCAAACCCACACGAATCCCAACTCAAGGCTTCTCGCGACGTAGCCATGGCTACAGCAGCGAAGGCAAAGCTCCTCCTCCGCGAACTGAAAACGGTTAAAGCCGATTTAGCCTTCGCCAAAGAGCGGTGCGCGCAATTGGAAGAAGAAAACAAACGGTTAAGAGATAACCGGGAAAAGGGAAACAACAACCCAGCAGACGATGACCTAATCAGGCTTCAGCTAGAGACGTTGCTTGCGGAGAAAGCTAGATTAGCTCACGAAAACTCGATTTACGCCAGAGAAAACAGGTTCTTGAGAGAAATCGTCGAGTATCATCAGCTAACGATGCAAGACGTTGTTTACATCGACGAAGGCATCGAAGAAGTCGCTGAGGTGAATCCTTCGATCACTAGAACGCTCTCGGTGGCTTCGTATGCGGCTTCTGAGTTGCCGTCGGTGTCGCCTTCTCCGTCGTCCCCTGCTTCGCCTTCTCGGCTTTCGGTTTCTACGGATATGTATCCGGTTTTGGTTCAGCAGAGTTCGGTGAGTGATGTTGTTACTCCCGAGAGTCCTAAACCGGTTCGACCACCTTCTTTGGGATACACAGATGATGGTAAGAGACCGTCGTCGCAGCTCTCTGTTTAGAATCCAAGAGTTATATATAACTTACTACCAATTTGATTTGTCTCTCTGTTTCGCATTTTTTTTTTTTTTTTTTTGGTTCTTGTTGTTAGTAGAATTGTGTTTCTTTAATAACTTGATTTAACTTTGGCGTGATCTCTTGTAAACTTATTGATTTCATTAAACAATTTTGCCCTCTACATTTAATGGAGAGAATTTACAAATTTTTCTTTTGTTTGGAAACACAACTGAATAAAATGTTTGTTTAGTGTGTGTGTTTGGCAAGAAGAACGATGCATATGAATGTTCGAATTTGACGGCGTAACGGACTCTTTTCGTATCAACTTACAAGTAACCACGTCTTTAAATATTTTTAAATCTTTTTTTCTTCTGACTGCACCATTTTTTTAACCCAAAAAAAAAAAAATCAGATAAATGATAAATAGAGGTATCAAAATCGGTCAACTAACTTGGTGGCTAACTATTACGTGACATCTGGATAACGATTTGACCAATGGTGTTAAAATCCAAATATATATCAACAAATCCATATAATCATGTGTATGAATTGTCATTTTCCCTATAGTTTATGTTCGAATTGACCCTTTTTACGCATAAAAGACGATAATCTCATCCTTCAAGAGACAATTTGTTCGATTTCGAAAAGAAAAAAGCTTCTTGGGGCAAATATTCAACAAGTTTGAAATAATTTAGCAACAGGAAAGCAAACATACGACTAAACTCAAAACTGGTCTCTGTTTTGTCAACTTCTTTTACAAATACCATGACTACTGAATTTGCTTACTGGTCATAGAAGCTTCACAGTCCTTTTAACGGATCTCCTGTTTTGCCTGACCTAGCATCAGTCCAAGCTTTGGCTATAGTTTTCTTCATTTCTTCATCTCCTCCCTCATACATGTTCTGCAAAAAGAAACAAACCATAAGCAGCAACCAATGAGAAGATACACAAACATAATTCTCAGCCTCACGAATTAGGAAGAGATGCTAACCTTCATCAAGTCCATGATTCCAGCCATTGGGTCTTTCTCTTTCTCAAAGCTAGGTTTAATCTGAACAAACAAACAACATTTTTACCATTAGCTTTTAGTTACACCAGACGAAAAAAAAAGCTCAAAACATGGCATCGTGTTTGTGAGTTATAGTTTTTTTTTAACCTTATCTTCTTTGTGGTGTATGTCAATCCAGTTTCCTCTCAAAGACTTGAACATTGTGATAACTATCCTCTTAGGCTTCACAAGCACTTTACATTTCTCTGGCACAATCTCTTGGTGCAGCTTTGGGATGCCGCATCGGTAATTCTTCCCTTGGACATCATGGATTTTAATGTCCAAAGACATTGACTTGAACTCGGCCTGAACCTTGTCCTGATCCACACCTTCCAAAGATATGTACATCTGTGCACAAAAACAATAGCAAGAAGAAAACTTCAGTACATAACCAGAGAACAGCGACGAAACCGAGTCCAAGATCCGCTACTAAATTGAGTCTTGATTTAGGAAAATTTCTGATTGGTTTACCTTGACTTTATCATTGTCTTGATCCCAGCTGAATGTTCCGAGAGTCACATAGTTCACTGCCGGAGAAACCGGCTTAACCGAAGAAGAAACCGGCGCAGGAACTGCCACTTCGACCTCTGGCTTTGCACTTGAAACGCTTGCAGACTCTCTCAGCTACAGAAAAGAAGATTTTAACTTTCAGAAATCAAAGTAGAGCCTCTCTAACTCAATCCAAGAGATTAGATTTACGATTATTTCGCCGATACAACTCAAAAACTGTTTCACAATGACCTTTTCTATTTCCATTTCTTAATCAGAAATCAAAGTTTGGACACAACCACCAGAGACTTTCTAACACAATCCAAGACACAGACACAGAACACAAAACCCATTTCACTCCAACGGAAGCTAAATCCTAGTTCCAGAAACTGACACAGCAACACACACACACATAGACTGAAATAGTTCTTCTGTCTCGGAACATAAATCAAATCCAAGTTTTTGTTCCATTTCAGGTTTATCGAGAGATAAGATTCAAACAGATAACCTAACCATCGAAGGAAACCGATTACGGCGGAAAAAAATGGGTAAAAAGAGATTTAATACCTTCTCCAAATTGCAAATCTCGGAATTGATGAGATTGAGAACACGAGGCCTCTTGGCGATGTTCTGAAGTTGCCTGAGTTCTTCCAAATCAAGTATAACTTCTTCCGCCATGGATATAATCTTAGAGCAGCCAAACGACACGTAAAATCTTCTCAGTGAAGGTTGCAGATTGTGTGTATATATACATACACAAAGAGAAGGCGATGAGAGTCTTGTGGAAACTGGAAACTACTAGAAGGCTTCACATTTATTTGATTATCCAAAATTCTCATCTCACCTTTTGACGTTTTAAGCTTATTGGGCTATGTTCTTTGATGCCGATCCAAGCCCATTTAGACCCATTATATTATTAATATGTAACTAATTCATTTTCCTACATCTAACCCATTATATTATTTAAACCCATTATATTATTTTTTTTTTCTACATATAATAACTTGGTACAATAATATAAAGATTTAAATAAAATTAAGTAAAAATGACTTTCAATATTTCTCTTTCAATATGATGTACAACAATATGATGGGTTACATATTAATAATATAATGGGTTTTTAAAAGTTTCTCTTTCATTTTGTTCTTCAATCAGACAAAAACAAGTGATTTCTTTATTTTTGCTATTAATTTATATTTTACATTTTGTGTTTTATTTGCTGCTTTGATTTATTTATGTTTATAAGATTATTTTACCATTAATTAATCATTTGTTAGATGTTGCACGAAGTCATATATATTATTTTATGTCTTGTAATTTTGTATATTATTTTTAAGTTTGATTTATTTATGTTCATATGATTTTGAAATTAGTTATGTTACATTCTTATACTAATTATGATTTCTTCTTTTTATACCGTTTTGTTTCAGTCAATACAATTATTAATGAAAAAATATTAATATATGTATGTGTGTTTTTTGGTTTTTTATAAATTACATCCAATGAAAGAGTTTTCTTTACAATGTGCTTAATCTATATAAATACATATATGTTGATTTAAATTAAATAGATTTATTTATGGATTAAAAAATAAATGGGTTTTGGGAGGACATACTGGCTTTTGAACCTTCGAAATCAAATGTGACAGATTTTATTTCCTACAAAATACATATACTAACACCATAGTTTCAAATTATACTTACAATTTCTTCTTCTTCTTTCTTATCTGTTTTTAACCTTTAGACCAAATAAAGATAGTTGCACAAAAAAAAAGACTAAATAAAGATAAATACAATCAACCATTTTCACCTCATCCCTCGAGCCCCTCAAAAAGGAGAGACAATTGTCACCATTGTTTTGGATTGGTAAAAAAATACTGAACCCGACAAAGAATGAGAGAAAGTCAAAAATATTGCCAGTCTAGAAAAATCAAAGCGATGTTTCAATTATTGTCCCTTTTATTAGATTGAGCTTTGTTTTCAATTAGGAGATTCAGTGTTACATATATGTTCACGAACTAACGATTTTGTTCTTACATTATAAAAAGCTATGATAAAAGATGAAAAGGATACGATACTTGATATCATATCATATACGACCCAAAGGTATCCATGTGCCAACATGTAGATTAATTGATTGACATCTTTGTATAACTAATATGAGCTTAACTTGTCTCTCTTACGAATAATTCATTCAATCATGTGGAGCGCATCTACAAAAATTCTCACTTTTCTCTTTTGATAATATTTGTGAATTGAACATCAATTACCACTAGAAAGGTGCACATATCTAGTATGATTTATTCAGAAGTAGTCACAAGATCAGCATGCGGAAAATTGACCAACAGATTATCTTGTAAGTTGTGTAACGTGTGATCTTGTATTTCCAACTAGTTTAATGATTTACGTATGTTTTGTTTAATAAAGTAAAATGACTTCTCTCATTTCACATGATGGTATGATCAAATGGTGTAATAGTTATTGACAGTTTTTCGGTTTTAACTTATGGTGCCAAATATAACGACTCTAACATTCAGTTAATATAATCAATTTTCGAAGACTCCTCAATTCTAATGCGTAAATATCATTTAAATTCAAAATGTAATCGAGTAGTTAATTCATGACTTTAGTCTTAAGATATAAACAACATAATCATTCAAAACATATTTAGCATTATAATCATTCATCCCTAAATTTAGTGGACCTCTTTATATAATATCTTAGTGGGAAATTCCAAATGAAAACTTCATATCATACATATATCTGGTGATATTGTCAAGTTAAACCGTGATGGAATATACGAACCTGGAAAGGAATAGGAATCGATGAAGATATTCAAAATTTAATAAACATGTTGGAAGAATAAAACAATTGAGTCGGGAGAAAAAGAAGAAAATAAAAAATTGTAAAAAAAAAAGAGAAAAGCTCCTTTGAAAAGGGACGGCCAATGACTATTGTCAAATGCTGACGACCTAAAAACATGGCCATGGAATAAAGTTGGGACCGTCCATATCTATTTATATGCTTCCTAATAAAATAAGTTTTAGTTCATTTTTAATAATTTTCAACTTCTTCTTTTTCTTCCCGTTAGAAAAAGGAAGCATTCCTCTTTTACCGTCCAATAAATTAGGTAAATTGGTGAACTGATCATTGATGAATATCCCAAAGACATGTCATGTTACGTGTCTTATGTGTAGCATCTATGAGTATCGTGTACAAGTACATTATCAACTATATGTATATATAATGCATGCATGTGTGTGAATTAAGAGGAGATAATATAAATATCGTATGTTGACGGTGAGATGAAAAAGGAAGGTACCGTATAGTCTAAGGTTCATGGATTCCACGTCCAAAAGATTAAAGAGCCTTCACGTTCAGTGTAACCAACCAATAGAACATCATATATATGAAAAATGTATGATATCATTATATAATTATACTGTAAAGTAGTAATTCATTGTCGACAAAAAATAATGGAAAATATATTTGTAGATTAATCAACACAACAGTAACCCATAAGTCTCTTCATGGCTTGATACATCAACATTTTCAAGCTTTTAGGAGATGACACTTCAGCAAAAAAATACACCAATAAATAATCATCAATATATTTTAACTTTTAAATTTAAACCTATTAAAAACTCAAATATGTTTTATTGTTAATTTTAATTTTATTTTTTGGTCAAGCCTAAGCCCAAATAATAAATAACAGCAAAAAAAAATTTGTTTTATTTTTTTGCCAAACCCAAATAATAAATAACAATAAATAATAAAATTAAATATTTGTTTTATATTTTTGCCAAACCGAAACTCAAATAATAAAAAACAGCAAAAAAAAAATTAAAATTTCTACCTATGTGTTTGCTTGATAGATACGTATATGATTAAAGAAAGTATAGACTCATCATCAACTATGCTTCCATAACAACAATGCAAAAAGCGTTATGTTATAAGAAGCTCACACATCAGCAAAAATTTGAACCAATAAAAACATAACAATAATACATATTATTAACACACTAATAAAATCAATTTACTATTTTGCTGACCCATTAAAAAGCCTAAAGTTTCTTTTTTAAAAAATGGAAGGCGAAAGCAAATGAGGAAAAAACTCAGACCACCACAGCTTGAAGATTCACATTTCCACTGGTTACCGAGAACAAATTTCCTTGGGTTTGGCGGGAATAGAGAATTTCTTGGTTTTGGTAGAAAAATGTGATTTTCGGTTTTGGTAGGAAAACATAGTTTCTCGGTTCTGGCGGAAAAAACGAATTCTCGGGTTTGGCGGAAAAATGTGAATTTTTGGTTTTGGTGAGAAATAAAAAAATTGATTTTGACGAGAAAATGCGAGGAAAATGCAACTTTTCAATTTTGACGAAAAATACAATTTCTCGGTTTTGATAGAAAATGTAATTTTTCGGCTTTTGATGGATAATGTAATTTCTTGATTTTTGCGAAAAATTACAATTTGACAATTTTGGCAGAAAATGCAATTTTTCAGGTTGATAGAAAAGCAAAATTTCTCGATTTTGGCGGGAATAAACAATTTCTTGGTTTTGATGGAAAATACAATTTTTCAGTTTTTGACATATAATTTGATTTTTTGGTTTTCGAGAGAAAATATAATTTCTTAGTTTTTGCGGGAAACTCAATTTCTCATGAGATAATGCAATTTTTGGTTTTCGCGGAAAATTGTAGTTTATCGATTTTGGTAGGAAGACGTGATTCTTGATTTGACGAGAAAAATAAATTTTTCTTGTTTTGGTGGGAATAGATAATTTTTGCGGGAAAATATCTTTTTGGTTTTGACGGGAAAATACTATTTTTTTGTTTTTGCACGAAGATGAAATTTTTTGGTTTTGGTGAAAAAACTTGATTTCTCTGTTTTGACGGGAAAACACAGGTTCTCGCAGGAAAATGTGATTTTTTGGTTTTTGAGGGAAAATGTAATTTTTTTGTTTTGGTAGGAAAATAAAATTTCAGGTTTGACGAGAAAATGATTTTTTTTTGTTTTGGCGAGAATATGCGATTTCTCAGTTTTGTGAGAAAATTTTTTTTTTTTGTTTTGTCAGAAAATACAATTTCTCGGTTTTTGTAAAATGATAAAATTTCTCTGTGCTAATTTTCAAAGTTACAATATGTTTATAGTAACCAAAATTGAATTATTTAACTTCAACTAAATTGATATTTCAACAGTTCAAATAGAACTATCTATTTAGTTTAAAAGTAATAGTAATGATTTTGATATGAATGTTATTGATTATAGTTTGGTAGTTTTAGAAACATATATGTCTATAATAAATATTTGATAAACAAATAAATTTTATAGTTTAAAATAATCATATTAACTAATATTTTTTTAAATGGCAATTTGCTTTATATAATTTCAAAAGAGGATCAAGTAGCAATTTAGTAGAGATAATAAATTACATTTAGCATTAGCATAAAAGTACTTAAAAATGTATTATTTTATTCTTACATATACATTTATAGATAGTTAGCTAAACAAATTTGATAGTAGATTATAATTTTAAAAAATTAATGATATATAATATTTATTCAGATTTAAAACATATAAATACATATTTTAAGCTAATAAAAAATAAATATAATATTCATTTACATTATAAAAATAATTTTATTATATTAAAAATATATACAAATCTAGAAAAAATATCTCGCAGCGTAGCGCGGGTAAATACCTAGTTAATAGTAATAATTAGATTTCTTGCTTCTCATAGGGATTACTGAAAAAAAAATTCTTAAACTAATTTTTTTTGAAAGAAAAATTCTAACTTCAAAAAA